GGCGGTGGCGGGAGCCTCGACCATTCAAATTAGGGTCTGTTGCTGCTGCTGATGGGAGGTTATCCCGTCAGGCAACTTGTCCAAGGCATTTGGTTGGTTGGTTCTCTGGGGTTTGAACCCAGAGTGGAAGGGGCCGCTTCGGCTGAAGGCCTCCGCGGCTTGGGTGGGATAAAGCACAGGTCCATGACTAAATACTATCGGATTCTCACTATCAGCCATCCCATTGATTGCACGAATTTAAGAACTAATGTACGGGACGTAATCGGATGCCCTTGCTTTGATTCGGCGTTATTTCCGGTAAAGAGCGTCAGTGTGTAAACTCTGCATGTCCATGAGTAGCTACGTAAACTTTTCGATACATGTATTACCAACGCGCCATCTCTTGATTCGTAATAGAAGTGTCTTACCACCAACGCCATCTGTACGTCGAATTGCATTCATACTAACCACTGAACGTTATTTATGGCATTTCTCAGTTCAAGCCTCTCACATAGGTTACTACATCGACAAAAGCACCTAACATCATACACTTACATAGTATTTGAGCCAGTCGTAACGGCTTCTTTTACATGTGAAGGTTTCGATACGCGAGTCATTACGTACGGAAGTGCTACGACTCTCGATGACCACATAAAATATCTGTATATTTGGCGACAAAAATTCTTCGAATTTTGTTGTCTCGTGATGCATATCGACACATCGCTCAGGAATTATTGACAAACGTGTGTGTGCCTTATTACGTTTTGATAAGGTGATCGTCCACTCTTTTGCACGTCTTCCACCTCGCGAATTTGGTGTGATCCTGTGGATTTATTACAAGAGTAATGATATAATCTGGTATGAAATTCATAAGCTTACTCGTGGCATGACGTCCAACCAAAATTTCAATGATATCCGACCATCCATTTAATAATGATATACCTCCGCAGGACGCCATTTTTTGTGACTGGAGAATACGGCGTTTTGGTTGAGTTGGGTTAGGTTAGGTTAGTGGGGTACCTGCGTCGAAAGTGTTGCGCAGTGACGTCGCTTCTTAGACCAGCTATGGGCCCCGTGTATGTGTTATCGACTGCGGAAAATTAAAACAACCAAATATTTGAATAACCTCATAATAAAGATTATGTAGTCCGCCAGTGCCTTTCATAGGTTATTTGTTATAAGGATTTTACACGGGGTTACCTATTGACCTCTTAAGGGAACTTATTGTGATTATTATTTGCGTACAATTAAAATACTCTTTTATCTGAATCCTTCATATTTTAAAATTAATGTATTGCCAACATCACATGTAATTTTACTTGTACGGACGTAAGTACTTTGCACTGGTTTCCTGTTGATGTCGTGAGCGACCCTGCCACATTTCACGCAGACATCTTAGTTGGTATGCAGGCTTCTGTTGTCGAAACACAAAGAATCATTAATATATTTATATGCTTTTATTTTACACTTTATGCGTCAAAGATTACGTGAGAGAGTGCTGCGCTCTTGTTTTGAAGAACTCGCTCTCTGACTTACCACCTTAAATATTGTTTTGGTGTAGATCTGTAAATTTGTGCGTCTCGTTGGGTATATCTGCACATGTGGACACTACCAAGTAAATATGGGCAAACGTGTGTATGCATATATAAAGTACACATCAAGTGGTCGTGGCCGGTTTCACGGTGCTCCACCTCGCGAGTTTGGTGTCTCCGTGGGGCTTCACTACAATATTTATGACATAATGGAGTATGAATTTTATTAAATTACAAGTGGCATGACGTCCATTCAAAATTTCAGGAATATCTGACCATCCTTTCAATATTCGTGAAAATGATGCGCAGGATTCCGATTTGTACTGACTCAGCATACCTCGTCCTGGGGTGGTTAGGTTAGTAGGTATATGCGCAGAAGGAGCTGCGCAGTGGCGTCACGGACGGTGTCTCAGAGTGGTCACCGTATGATCGTGGTTATTTCTTGCGTAAATTAAGAATACTATTTTATCTGAATCCTTGAAACTTCGAAATGAATGTAGTGCTAACTTCACATGTAATTGTACTTGATATAAGGCCATAAGTAATTTGCACTGGTTACCTGTTGACGTCGATTGCTACCCTGTCACTTTAGATACAGACATGTTGGTTGGTATGCAGAGTTCTGTTGTCGACACAGAAAAAAATCATTAATTTATTTAATGCCTTTATTATACAATTCATCCAGAAATTACAGCCACAACTTTACTCGTCATGGAAAATATAAATATATGCATATTATTTAGGTTTACACGCTCATAGCTGCCGTGTTTCAAGGAAGGCTTCATTTTTAGATTTTTGTATCACTAATGGAAACATACGACTCCATGTTGATTTCGTCACTGGAAACGTCCTACAACACTCAAAGTCACTTTTGGATGCACACGATAGTTTCCGATGTAATGCTGCTTATTAGCGTTTCTGAAGATCTGTGTTCTTTGAGCACCTCTAGTGTCTTTAATACGGTCCTGTTAAATCGTATAGTTGAAACGAATATCAGTAGCAACTTTCACTCATGAACTGGAAACCGCTCTGCTCCGTGAGAAAATCAATACTGGCAGACGATGACGTACGGCCCCTCGACATTGATATGCTGGCATTCAAGACGTGATGCGCGCGGCTATATAGAGGTTGCAGTCGAGGGTCGGAAACTATGGTTATGTGGTCGATCCGGTAGGTTGCGCCAGTGTTTGAGTTCTGCATGTCCTTGGGTATCTACGTAGAAGATTGTTCGATATCTGAAGATGTGTCTCCTCGCCATCTCGTTGTCCTGGATTGGAATGTCGTTTTACGTACGTCGTTTTCCAGGCTTGCCAAGTGTCGTAAATGATTTCTGACAAATTTCGTATTTCGAATCTCAGGTAGGGCATTAAATTGTTGAAGGGACCTAAAATCATTCAGTTACGTGTATTTGGGGCATGCGAATTTAGATATGATTTATTCTATGCGCCAAACGTCACTTGCGAGTGAGCCGCGCTCTTGCTTTGCAGAACTCGCTCTCTGACCTATCACCTTAAATATTGTTTTGGTTTAATTCTGTAAATTTGGGCGTCTCGTTGGATATTTCCGCACATGTAGACACATTTAAGTAAATATGGCAGACGTCTGTATGCATAAATAAAGTGGCCGATTTTACGGTGCTCCACTTCGCGACTTTGGTGTCTCCGTGGGGCTTCACTACAATATTTATGTCATAATGGAGTATGAATTTTATTAACTTACACGTGGCATGACGTCCATTCAAAATTTCAGGAATATCTGACCATCCTTTCAATATTCGTGAAAATGATGCGCAGGATTCCGATTTGTACTGACTCAGCATACCTCGTCCTGGGGTGGTTAGGTTAGTAGGTATATGCGCAGAAGGAGCTGCGCAGTGGCGTCACGGACGGTGTCTCAGAGTGGTCACCGTATGATCGTGGTTATTTCTTGCGTAAATTAAGAA